TTTACCTGTGTTTCTGTGGCTACCTCATAAGGCTAATGGCAGCGAGCCCAGCTCGGTCCTGATCGGGGGTTTATACTGATCTGCCAATGCTAAGAGGAGCCCAGCGTCTCCGTCAGGGGAGCAGCCAGGGGGCATCTGACTAATCCCAACACAGGATTCTTTCTGGTTGTCAAAAACTGTCATAACTGTTTGTGTCCCAGTAACTATTGTTCTGTTTGGTGTCTGCTTAGGTCTGTATGTCCTGCCATTGCTATTGCCCAAGGTGGCTAGGGGAAAACTTCTTTAAGGTACTCAGTGCAGACTTCCTATCAGGGGAGGTAAAATCCCTCATTTGCAGGTTGGGCTGGCCATCCCAGTCCTGCCTTTTCTGTCCAGCACAGATCAGGTGTTGTTATGGGGAAAGTTGTGAAAAACATTCACCAGTCTGTGAATTGTGGCACCACAAGGATTGTTGGCGTCTGGACTGTCACACCCCATGCCCCAACGACTGAGTGCGGCTCTCTTATTCCTCAGGAACATCGCTCAGCTTTTAGAAGTAGCCCTGAGGTTTTCCACAATTGAAAAGCTGAAAAACAAAAGCAGGCAGTTCAAGCTGCTGACAGGGCAGCTGACAGGGCCGGGAAAAGACAGGCAAAAATTATAGTGGCTGCCCTCCAGGGAACCAAACAGGAAGAGCTCCCACCCCAGAGCACCAGCCGGAGGACCCTGGACCCCCACCAGAAAAGCCAGAAAGGTGAGCAGGCTCCTCTACAAAGGAACCAGTGTGCTTACTATAAGCAGACTGGACACTGGAAAAATGGGTGCCCTTTAAAGCCAGAGAAGAAACCAGAGCAAAAAAGGGTCCTCACCCTCCCTACAGTGGAGGAATCTGATGATTGATGGGACCGGGGCTCCTTTTCACTTGGTCCCCGGGAGCCCATGGTTACTGCTACTGTGGGGGCCAGCCTGTACGCTTTTGAATCGACATGGGTGCTGGACATTCTGTACTACAGACACCCTTGGGCAGTGATTCTAACAAAAGAATGGCTGTACAGGGGCGACTGGAGCTATTCAGGAACATCCTGTCACCCACTCATGTGAGGTAAATTTAGGTCAAAAGAGAGTAACCCATTCATTTCTAGTAGTTCCAGAGTGCCCCTTCCCCCTCCTTGGGAGCCACCTGCTCCACAAGCTGCAGACATCCTCTCCTTCTCGGGTCAGCAAGCTCATCTCAAGTCAGGAGACACAGAGCCGCCTCCTGCCCAGCTCCTGCTGTCCACTCCTTTGTCAGAAGAATATCTTTTAGTCTCATCTTCGCCCCCAAGAGAAAACAAAACTAACCGTCTCCTACCGGATCTGCAAGCTCTTTTTCCCCGGGTTTGGGCAGAATCAAACCTCCCAGGACTCGCAAGACACCACCCACCGGTGGTAGTAAAACTTCTGGCTGATGCCCTGCCTGTTCGGGTCAAACAGTATCCTATGAGTCAGCGGACTAGAGAGGGAATCAGCCCCCACATTCAATGGCTATTACGAGCCAGTATACTTACACCTTGCCAGTCTGCTTGGAACACTCCATTTCTGCTAGTTCAGAAACCCAGGACAAATGATTACTGGCCTGTACAGGACTTCAGGAAGTTAACAAACAGACAGTCATAGTCCATCCAACTGTCCCTAATCCCGATACACTGCTCAGCTGGCTCCCACCAGAACACACCATGTACACTGTCCTGGACTTAAAAAATGCTTTCTTTGCCGTTCCTTTGGCTCCTAAGGGCCAACCCATTTTTGCTTTTAAATAAACAAACCCTGGTTTGGGAGATACAACCCAATTAACCTGGGCTCGGCTGCCCCAGGTTAATTTGGTTTCCCCTGGCAACGGCAGCCCCAGGGTTTTAAGAATTCTCCAATTCTTTTTGGGAAAGCCCCTCGTCAGGACCTTGTGGCATCCCAGCTGCACCCGACTCCAGTACGTGGATAATTTACTACTGGCTACTGAGACTGCCGAAAGCCGCCTGCAACATACCAAGGACTTACTTTACCTCCTTCGGAAGCTTGGGTATCAGGTCTCAGCCAAAAAGGCCCAGCTTTGTCTTTCCACGGTCTCCTATTTGGGATGTAAACTAACCCAAGGAAAAAGAGCACTCACTAATGCTCAAGAAGAGGCCATCCTACGAAATCCCCACTCTACCAAGAAACAGGTATGTGAATTCTCGGGGTCGTGGGATACTGTCGCCTGTGGATATCTGGGTTCACAGAAATTGCCAAGCCTCAGTATACCACTACAGGACGAAGTGGCCCTTTAGTTTGGACTGACACGGAAGAGCAGGCCTTCCAAAACCTAGAAAAGGCACTGACAGAGGCCCCTGCTTTAGCCCTTCCAAACATCTCAAAACCACGTCACTTGTTTGTCTGTGAAAATGAGGGAGTGGCTAAAGGGGTGCTCACTCAAACCCTGGGGCCATGGCGACGCCCAGTGGCATATTTGTCTAAAAGACGGGATCCTGTGGCCTCCGGGTGGCCAAGTTGTGAGCAGTTGGGGCACGCCTAGCTCCTGAGGATGATAAACTCATGAGAGAAGTGCCAGAAGTTAACCCTTACGGCACCGCGTGCTGTAGAAACACTGCTGCGTGGTGCTCCTGGTAAATGGACGCCTAACGCCTGCATCCTGCAGTATCAGAGTTTGCTCTTAGATCAGCCTCGCTTCACTTTCTCCCCTGCAAGGTGTTTAAATCCAGCTTCTCTGCTCCCTGATCCAGACTTCACTACCCCTGTATGTGACTGCCAGGAACTGCTAGAAACCACAGAAACAGGCACACCACAGATCTCCAGGACACTCCCCTGGAAAAGGCGGATGCCACTGTGTTTACAGAGGGTAGCGGTTTCCTCGCGCAGGGGGTACAGAAAGCTGGTGCGGCCGTCACCACGGAGACCGACGTACTGTGGGCCCAGGCACTGCCAGCTGGTCCCCCTGCGCAGAGGGCTGAGTTAATTGTTTTTTGTTTTTTTTTTTTTTGAGACGGAGTTTCACTCATGTTACCCAGGCTGGAGTGCAATGACGCGATCTCGGCTCACCGCAACCTCCGCCTCCTGGGTTCAGGCAATTCTCCTGCCTCAGCCTCCCGAGTAGCTGGGATTACAGGCACGCGCCACCATGCCCAGCTAATGTTTTCATATTTTTAGTAGAGACGGGGTTTCACCATGTTGACCAGGATGGTCTTGATCTCTTGACCTCGTGATCCACCCGCCTCGGCCGCCCAAAGTGCTGGGATTACAGGCGTGAGCCACCGCGCCCGGCGGGCTGAGTTAATTGTCCCCACTCTAGCCCTCCGACGGGGCAAGGACAAACGTGCTAACACCTACACTGACAGCAATGTGCTTTTGCTGCTGTACACGTTCATGGGGCCGCCTATCAAGAGCGGGGTCTACTCACCTCAGTGGGAAAAACTGCTGAAAACAAGGAGCAGATTTCAGCCCTGCTAGAGGCTGGCTGGCTCCCCCTCCAGGTGGCTGTAATTCATCGCAAAAGACATCAGAGGGACCACGCTGCCGTTGCCAGGGGAAACCAAAAGGCAGACTGGGCCGCCCCTGAGGCTGCGGCTCTCCGGGTTACTCCACTAACCCTGCTTCCAGCCATCTCTTCCACAGCCTGATCTACCCGACCACCCAGCGTACTCTTCTGAAGAAGAAAAGTGGGCATCGGATCTGCGAGCCAGTAAAAATCAGGACGGATGGTGGATCCTTCCAGACTCCAGAATCTTCCTGTCCCGGGCCCTCAGAGAGGCCTCCATCAGCCGCCTCCACTCTTCCACCCACGTGGGAGAAACGAAGCCGGCACAGCTTTTGAGAAGCTGTTTTAAAATCCCACACCTCCGGGACGTATCTGGCCAGGCGGTCTCCCGGTGCACGGCTTGTGCGCAGGTGGTATCAGGCAAGGCCTGAAGCCTGGATTGGGCCCTTGTCTCCGAGGACGGAGCCCAGGAGAAAGGCGGGAAGTTAACTCTATCGAAGAAAAGCCACATTGGGCAGGGTGTAAGAACCTCCTGGTGTTGGTAGACACCTTTTCCGGATGGACTGAGGCTTTTGCCACTAAGAACGAAACTGTCACTACGGTAGTTAAGTTCTTACTCAGCAAAATCATCCCTTGTTATGGATGGCCTGTTATTATAAGGTCTGATAAGGGGCCGGCCTTCACCTCGTCCTTAGCTCAGTCAGTCAGCAAAGCGTTAAATATTCAGTGGAAACTCCGCTGTGCCTGCTGACCCCAGAGCTCTGGACAGGTAGAATGCGTGACTCGTACCTTAAAAGGCACTCTAGCCGGGCGCAGTGGCTCAAGCCTGTAATCCCAGCACTTTGGGAGGCCGAGGCGGGTGGATCACAAGGTCAAGAGATCGAGACCATCCTGGTCAACATGGTGAAACCCCGTCTCTACTAAAAATATAAAACATTAGCTGGGCATGGTGGCACGTGCCTGTAATCCCAGCTACTCAGGAGGCTGAGGCAGGAGAATTGCCTGAACCCGGGAGGCGGAGGTTGCGGTGAGCCGAGATCGCGCCATTGCACTCCAGCCTGGGTAACATGAGTGAACAAAAAAAAAAAAAAAAAAAGTTCCAGAAGGAAAGTCTCATTCCTGCTTGGAAAGGACTTCACACTGACATCCTTACTACACCCACGGCCCTAAAGGTGGACAGTATTCCTGCCTGACTTCATCACTCCCACATCAAGAAGGCCAACAGGACACAGCAAGAAACACGGGTCCCCAAGCCCGGGTCAGGCCCTTAAACCTCGCCTGAGTTGGATGCAGCCATTAGACCAGTTCTTTTGGTTGACTTTCTTGTCTGTTCCTGGGCATTCAGCCCTCTGCCCCCTCCTACTCTTTTCTCCTTACTTCTTTTGCAATAGGCAGAGTGCTTGTGACCACCACCTGGTTTTGTTCCCAAAACCTAACTGTTCCCTTGAGGACCAGGGAAGTTTGCCCCTGTGGGCAGGAGTGGGACTCATTAGCCTTGCTGCAGGGTTCCGGCACACCGAAAGTGAAAGTGAATGTGGCAGCTCCAGGGGGGGCAAAAAAAGGGACTCCAACGGAGAGATTTCTATCTCTGTCCTGGAGACCACCCTGACGCTGCCTGCCGGGATAGTTACGAGTTTTTCTGCCCTTTTCAGTCATGTGTAGCCTTGGCTACTTACCCAGGGGGGCCAGCTCGGTCCCCAGCCCTTCCCACAGCCCAAACCTCTCGGCCTAGACCATGTACCATGGAACTGTGTTTACCATTCAGAAGAGGATCCTGATCCCCTGGAGCCCCCCCAAACCCATTGGTCCCTTAACTGATTTAGGAGACCCTAAGTTCCACCCGCACACAGATAAGGTCAGTCCCATTGGCCCAGCTGTCCTGTCGCCTGTCCAGGCTCCCCAACGCCAACCCCAACACCTCCAACCCAGCTTAATGTCCATCTTTGGGGGAGTCCATCACTTCCTTACTTTATCACTCAGGATAAACGGGCTCAAAATTGTTGGTTATGCCGAAAGGCCAAACCTCCATAATATGTTGAACTGGGAGTTGAGGTCAAGTTAAACACTGGCCCTCTTTCACGTAGTGCTCACGCTCACTCCCTTACATTAGGGGATGTTTCAGGAAAAGCCTCCTGCCTAGTCAGCAGGGGTATGACCTATCTGCTTCCCCTTTCCAGGCCACCTGTAATTGGTCTCTGCTTTCTTCCCTAACGACTTCAGTCTCCTACCAGGCACCGAATAACACTTGGCTGGCTTGCACCTCAGGCCCCACCCGCTGCATTAATGGGACCGAACCTGGAACCCTCCTGTGCATGTTAGTTCATGTGCTTCCTCTGGTTTCTGTGTACAGCGGACCAGAGGGACAGCTTCTCAGCGCCCCTCCTGAACTGCACCCCAGAGTACGTCTGGGTGCTCCACTCCTAGCACCCCTTTTGGCTGGCCTCGGTGTGGCTGGGTTGGCAGCAATCGATCGGCACAGCAGCACTGGTCCGAGGAGAAGCTGGACTAGGGTCTCTAACCCAACAGGTAGATGCTGATTTAAGAAATCTCCCATCAGCCGTAAATGCACTGCGTGCCCAGACAGACTCCTCAGCTGAAGCTGTTCTTGAAAATCGTGCGGCCCCGACCCAGTGTTTCTCTCCCAAGGGGGTTTATGTGCAGTGTGAGGGGAAAGCTGTTGTTTCCATGCCAACCAGTCTGGAGCCACTAAGGACACTCGTCAAAAAGTTCGAAAAAATTTAAACAGACGCCAACGGGAATGAGAAAATAACACCCCATGGTACCAGAGCATGTTTAACGGGAACCCTTGGCTAAGTACTTTATTTTATTTTATTTTTTTCTTTAGTCAATTCTCCTTAATAAGGCTAACGACTTTAATAAGTGGATTAGCAGGACCTCTGCTCCTCCTCTTGTTGGGGTTAACTTTTGGGCCCTGTCTATTAAATTGGTTTATTAATTTTGTAAAACGGCACATAGCTTCTGTCAAACTTACGTATCTTAGAACCCAATATAACCCCCTTGCTATAACTGAGGAATCAATGATTTAAATCTCCAAAAACACAGGTGGGGAATGTGATAACCTGCTTCCTGCCAGCTAAAACCAACTCTCTCTTTCTCAGACTAAAAGCTGCTCAGGCTTTATGTTAGCTTCTTGAGCCGGACAGACTCCATCTCAGCGGCTTCATTTTAGTTATTTTTCCCCCATTAAGTATGTAGCTGTAGTATGTAGCTGGGGCAGGCTGACACTGGGCACCCAGGAAGGCGTTTGTTGATAAGAGGCTGAGGTAAGTGGTACCAGCGGAGCCTGGGCATGCAGGTGCCGTCGAGCCCAGAACCCCCGTTGTCTGTAAGTTGTGTGTCTTTCATGACAGCTTCACCCCTCGCACCTGGCACTGTTTATTTCTCATGTACTAGTTTATCTTTTAACTTTCTGCTTACTCTGCTTTTGTGAAAAATTGGCTTCAGCTAAGTTCCCCCTCCCTTTAAAACTAGAGTATAAAAGACCGCCTAACTTTTTCGTAGGGGCCGAGAGAATTTTGGGCATTGGCCACCTCTCAGTTGCCAGCATAATAAAAGACTCATAATTCAATCTCAGAGTGTGGCGTATTCCTTGACTGGCTCGGGTCCAACATCAGAAGGTGGGAGCTGTGTGGCTGGGGTGGGAACTGGGGCTTGGGTCGGCTCCAGGATTTCCTCCCGCCCTGAGCGCTCCTCCGCCAGCCCGGTGGCTTCGCCCTCCATTGGGGACTGGCATGAGGGACAAGGGGCGTGAGGCATGGGCAAGCTGGGTAGGTCCCCCCGCAAAGGCTCCAGAAGCCCAGGCGAAACCAGGCGGCGGTGCGTGCAGCGCGTTTCAGCGGGGTGGGGGCGCCCCAGACCCCTGTGCAGGCGTGCGCTCAGCCGGGGCGGTTTGGCAGCGGGCGCAGCGCGGAGGCCGGGGCCAGGGTGGCCAGTGCCATCCTCCCCCAGCGCTCCGGGACCTGACGCCGCGCCCCTGCGGGCAGCGAGGGCCCTGAGCAGCCGGGCGGCCAGCAGGAGCTCCGCACCCTGCAGCAGCACCACCGCGATGGCGTAGCCCCCGGCCGCCGCCAGGTTCGCTCGCAGCCACTGCTGGAGCGGCGGGCCGCAGCCCTCCAGGTACACCACTCTCTGGGCTGCCTCCGCATCCAGGCCCAGGACCCCGAAGCCGCACTGGTCGTTGACAGAGGCTCCGTCTTCGTGGGGGTCGATGCAGCAGGAGGCCGGAAGGCTGCAGGCCTGCACCCCGGGGGAGCTGCAGTTGAAGTACCTGCGGGGCAAACGGGGGCGGCGTCAGCTCTGGCGGGGAGGGCCCGCTCTTCCGGAGCCAGGCACGGAGGTGAAGGTCGCCTACCCACCTCCACCCTCCCATGGCCACATAGGCACGTGCACACACAGACACACATCCACACATTCGCACACACACCGCACACACCGACCCACACGGCACGCGGCTTTCTCGGCTGTATCCCTGTGCGTGGCAGCCCTCTGGCTTGCAGGCAGGGGTGACGGCTGCATAGACTAGCAGAATGGTTAATGCGAAACAGACCAGCATTGATGAGGGTGGAAGTGAGAGGACGTTCCTCCGCAGAGGCTGCTCTGCTCATGTGAGCTCATTGAGGAGGTAGAGTTGGAGCGGGGGAGGGTGGATGGAGCTCTGGCAGAGGCTTCTGGAATGGTCCACAGGTCTTACGGGTTAGAGCAAGGGCTTGAGAGGCCATACCCGGCAGTGACAAAAAGCAAGGGTGGGGGAGGAACCCCCAGGGTGGCTTGGGAGTGTTGAGCTCATCGCAGCCCCCAGGTCAGGCAGTCCACAGGTGCCCTAGGCATTCACTAGTGTCCCAGGCTCTGCACGTGCCCAGCAGACCTTCAGGCTCATCCCCACGGCCCCTCCACTCTAGAAGAGTGTGCCCCTCCCAGGCAGGTGAGGGGGTCGATGCCAGCAGCAGACGAGGCATCATGACACTCTAAGGTGGCTGCCACCAACCCAGTCACATGTGGCCAAAAAGCGACCTATGTGGTGCTTCCCAGAGTCTGGTACCTGGAACGGCACCACCCATTAGCCACCGCTGGGTACTAATGGCCAGTTTTTAGGGTCGCCTATGACTTCATCTCTTGTGTTCAGTTGCCCCTGGATACACACACCAAGAAGGTGTGGGAGACCTGGATGTGGCGTGGAGAGCAGGGTATGCATGCACTGGGGATAACTGATAAAACAGGCAGCTGGCCGGGCACAGTGGATCATGAGGTCAGGAGATCGAGACCATCCTGGCCAACATGGTGAAACCCCGTCTCTACTAGAAATACAAAAAAATTAGCTGGGCGTTGTGGCCCGTGCCTGTAATCCCAGCTACTTGGGAGGCTGCAGCAGGAGAATAGCTTGAACCAGGGAGTTGGAGGTTGCAGTGAGCCGAGATCGTGCCACTGCACTCCGGCCTGGGCGACAGAGCAAGACTCTGTCTCCAAAACAAAAAACCAACCAGACAGCTACCCCCGAGCAGAACACAAGAAAATCCTGGGCCGGGCGCGGTGGCTCACGCCTGTAATCCCAGCACTTTGGGAGGCTGAGGAGAGTGGATCACGAGGTCAAGAGATCGAGACCATCCTAGTCAACACAGTGAAACCCCGTCTCTACTAAAAATACAAAAAATTAGCTGGGCGTTGTGGCCCGTGCCTGTAATCCCAGCTACTCAGGAGGCTGAGGCAGGAGAATTGCCTGAACCCAGGAGGCAGAGGTTGCAGTGAGCCGAGATCGCACCACTGCACTCCAGCCTGGGTAACAAAAGCAAAACTCTGTCTCAAAAAAAAAAAAGAAAGAAAATCCTGCATTGGATCCTAAGTGGACAGTGTTTAATCACACTCACAATGGAGGGAAAATTGTGGAGTCAGATTCTAGAATTACATCCGTAATTAACCTAAAAGTCATTTTCTTTTTTTTTTTAAATGGAGTCTAGCTCTGTTGCCCAGGCCGGAGCCCATGGCGTGTAGGTGTGCATGCACACAGGTGAAACTTGTGAGCACATGAGACGTGCCAGTGTGGATGTGTGTGCATGGGTGTATGTGTGCGTGCGGGCATGCAGGAATGAGTGTGTGCACGTGAGTGCGTGTGTGCACGTGAGTGCCTGTGTGCACATGAGTGTGTGTGGCCTCTGGGCCCCTGTGGCAGCCCCGTCCCTCACCCACTCCAAGACTCACAGGTTCTGCTGCCAGTCCTGGTAGGAGGCCGCCCCGCAGCACCTCAGCCCGAGCTGAACTTGGTCGATGAGGAAGCGCAGGTCTGGGTCGTCCTGGTAGTGGGTGATGGCTACTTGCAGGGTGTGCTCCAGGCTGTCTTGCAGAGGGCCCCAGAGGGCCACCACCAGTGCCCCCACGACGGCTTCGAGCACCAGGAAGGCAAGGATGCCCCCGGAGAAGCCACGTAACAGGCAAGTGTTCTCACAGAGGGCGCCCAGGCAGCCAGCCAGGCTCACTGCACTGACTGCCAGCCCCCCCAGTGCCAGCCCCAGCATGGGGTCTGCGGGCAGGGGCCTCCCCAGATCACTTCCCAGAGACCCCTTGACGGCCAGGCCCCAGAGCCCGATGGCCAGGGCCAGCAGGCCCAGCAGGGTGAAGAGGAAATTGGACAGGAAAATCAGATACTTGACGCAGCTGCTCCCTGCAGAGAGGGAAGGGGCTGTGCCTTTCCCAGAGGTGGCCCTCAAGGCCTGGCGCTTGGTCCCCAAGGGACAGCAGCTGCAGTCCCAGCCCTCTGCCTGGTTCTCCCAGGGCACTGGACCTGGGCAGCCAGAGGTGGGTGGACTTCGCACAGAGAGGGGCACCTTCTGGCCTGCGGTGTCCTGCAGAGAGGAGAGGAACAGGGTGAGACCCCCTTCACTCACACTCTGTGACAATCGGAGAGGGGTCAGGGAAGAGCAGGGCGGCAGAGGCTTGGAGGGATGGGAGAATGCTGGACAGTGGAGGGCAGAACTGGAGTTCAAAGACTCAGACAGCCAGGGGCAGGGGACCCTCAGGCCTGTGTGGCTCAGCTGGGCAGCAGAAGGGACAATGAGGGTCCCAGCTCTGCTACCTACTGTGTGTGGGACCCCACCTTTAGAGCAGGGTGATAAGCAGACCCTGCCAGGCTGGGTGAAGACCGAACAGGGCAGTGCTTGGTGAGCGCACCCACTCCCTCCCTGTCCCAGGTGTTGGCGGTGCGGCCTCCCGAGGTGGGTTGGGGCTCCCCCTGACTTTCCTGCAGTGCAGGAATGTGGTGGTGAGGTTGCATCCCCAGAGTTTGAAACAGCATCTGTCTGTACCAGTCTCTGTGCCTGCAGCGTGGACCTTGCACAGTCACAGAGGGGGTTCCTCACCAGCCAGAGGGGCTGGCCCACGTGGCTGCCCTTTCCCTGCCCTCTGAAACCAGTGCCCATATCCCAGCACCCATTTATTCAGCCCCACCAACAGCCCACACTGAGTGTTGACACTGCACTGGGCCCTGCCCAACAGGCTCCCAGGACAGGAAGGAGGGTGCCTGGGAGCCCAGGGAGACCACCTGTGGGTGGCAGGGCTTTCAGAGGGGACCCCCTGGCCCACTAACAAAATGGGCCTGCTGGTCTCTCTCTGTGGGGAAAGAGGCAGCCCTGCAGGCGCCCAGCTCTGCCAGGGACAGAAGTTTTATTAAAGAGGAGAATAAGAAGCCATGTCGGGGCCGGACGTGGTGGTTCATGCCTGTGACCCCAGCACTTTGGGAGGCTGAAGCAGGCAGATTGCCTGAGCTTGGGAGTTCGATACCAGCCTGAACAACACGGAGAAACCCTGTCTCTACTAAAAATAGCAAAAAAAAAAAAAAAAAAAATTAGCCATGTGTGGTGGCCAGCGCCTATAATCCCAGCTACCTGAGAGGCTGAGGCAGGAGAATCTCTTGCACCCGGGAGGTGGAGGTTGCATCATGCCACTGCACTCCAGCCTAGATGACAGAGTGAGACTGTCTTAATAAAATAAATAAATAACAATAAAAAACAAATAATAAAGAAAGATTAAAAAAAAAAAACAAAAAACAATAAAAAGGAGCCAAGTCTGTGTCCTGGGCAATTCCAATCCAGTTTCACCGGGAAGAAGCTGAGTGCGGCAACAGGATGCTGGCTCACTGCAGCCTCAAACTCCTGGGTTCAAGCCATCCTTCCTCCTCAGCCTCTTGAGTAGCTTGGGACTGCAGGCACTGCAACCACACCCCAGTCATTCTTTTAATTTTTTTTTTTTTTTTTTTTTTGAGGCGGAGTTTGGCTCTTGTTACCCAGGCTGGAGGGCAATGGCGCGATTTCGGCTCACCGCAACCTCCGCAACCTCCGCCTCCTGGGTTCAGGCAATTCTCCTGCCTCAGCCTCCTGAGTAGCTGGGATTACAGGCACGCACCACCATGCCCAGCTAATTTTTTGTATTTTTAGTAGAGACGGGGTTTCACCATTTTGACCAGGATGGTCTCGATCTCTTGACCTCGTGATCCACCCGCCTCGGCCTCCCAAAGTGCTGGGATTACAGGCATGAGCCACCGAGCCCGGCTTTTTTTTTCTTTTTTTAAAGACGGGGTTTCACCATGTTGGTCAGGCTGGTCTTGAACTCCCAACCTCAGGTGATCCACCCGCCTCGGCCTCCCGAAGTGCTGGAATTACAGGCATGAGCCACCGTGCTCAGCCAAAAACAATAATACTTTTTTGTAGAGACAGGGTCTCGCTACATTGCCCAGGCTGGTCTTGAACTCCTGGGCTCAAGCAGTTCTCCCTCCTCAGCCTCCCAAAGTGCTGGGATTACAGGAGTGAGCCACTGCGTCCAGTCCCAAAGAAGGGTTATTTATCAGCCCCACAGACCTCAACAAGTCACTAGAATCAAAAGGGCAGGCTGCCAGTGCCTGGTTGGCCAGACTGCAGCTGTTGGAGGCTGGCTGCAAGGGATGTTTGCCTTCATCCCCTCCTGCACCCTGAGCCACAGGTTGCTCCCAAGGCCCTTAGGGAGACCCAGCAGATCCCTTGACCAGAGGCCAGCATGGGGCCGAGAGATCTATAGCACTGGGGAAGCGGGAGGGGGCTGCCTAGAACCACCTCCCAACCTAATCTCAGCATTGAGGTGTGGGGTGGCACCAGGGGTGGGGGTGGGTATGAACCAGCCCAGGGACCTCCCTTGGGACCTCAGGGCTGGGGGCATCTCCAACCTCAGCCAAAGGCCACTTGGCACTGCTCACCTGGGGCAGTAAGGGGCTCCTCTCCCCCTCCTCCATCCTTGGCACTTGCACAGAAAGCCCCTCAGCACGGGCGCCGGTAGAGGTTCACTGGCTCCTCTGTGGCTGGGCTGCTAGGCTGGTCCTGCCTGTGGCCCTGGGCTGGTCTGTGAATGGTGCAGCCCTGGGCATGAAAATGGGGGAGCTGCGAGCCCCACCCAGATGCCAGAGTCACAGTTGAGTCATGTGAGGAATCACATTTTAGAGCTTAAGGCGGTCTCTGCTTGTGGAGACACATTTCTCCCCAGCGCTGGCTCTGTGGATCTCCTAAGCTCTGCGCAGGTGCGACTTGGGCGGGATGTCTGGGTGCAGACTCGTGGCTGTCACTGCAGGGCCCCCATGCAGACTTCAGCTCGGCAGGGTCAGCAGCCACTCCATCAGCTCCCAACCAGGGAATCAGGCCCCTGCAAACAACCCCAAAATCAAGAGACCCATTGGCAGCCCCAGTGCCAATCTATCCCCCCGGTTTGTTCACTGCAAGAATGAAACAGTTGGCTGGGCCACTGTACTCCAGCCTGGGTGATGGAGCAAGAATCTGTCTCAAAAAAGAAAAAAAAAATTAGCCAAGTGAAGTGGCATGCACCTGTAATCCCAGCTACTCAGGAGCTAATGCAGTGAGCTGAGATCGTGCCACTGCACTCCAGCCTGGGTGACGGGAGTGAGACCTCAGTCTCAAAAAAAAAAAAGAAAAGAAAAAGACAAAAAAAAAAAAAAAAAAAAAGGAGAAACCACATCTATTGACAACTTGATGTGGGATTCCAGTTCTAGGACTGTTAGAAAGTAATTCCAAACTGGCCAGGTGTGGTGCCTCAAGCCTGTAATCCCAGCACTTTGGGAGTCCAAGGTGGGCAGATCACAAGGTCAGGAGTTCGAGACCAGCCTGACCAACATGATAAAACGCTGTCCCTACTAAAATTACAAAAATTAGCTGGACGTGGTGGTGCACGCCTGTAATCCCAGCTGCTCAGGAGGCTGAGGCAGGAGAATTGCCTAAACTTGGGAGTCGGAGGCTGCAGTGAGATCATGCCACTGCACTGCAGCCTGGGCAACGGAGTGAGACTTTGTCTCCAAAAAAAAAAAAAAAAAAAGAAAGTAATTCCAAACCACCAGTCTGTTATGGTAAAACAGCCTTTGCAAAAATTGTAACTGAGACAATTATTACAGTTAAAGGGATGGGACTTAGCCGACTCCACCTTGCTTCTAACCTCCAAGCTGTCCTTGTTCATTTCTGGGTACAGGCTGAACTAACTTCAGGAGGCACTTAGTTTGTAGTTTAGCTTTGAAGCAAAGATGATAACAGCCCTTTTTCAAAACAAACTCCCTTCCTACCTGGGGACAAGACTGCCTTTTCAGGATTAACAGATTAGCCACAAGATTATAAATTATGGTTTAGGAGTTATGCAGCTGGAGGCTACAAGATTCTTTTTCTTTTTTTTTTTTTTTTTTAAGATGGAGTTTCACCATGATGGCCAGGTTGGTCTTGAACGCCTGACCTCAGGTGGTCCACCCACCTCGGCCTCCCAAAGTGCTAGGATTACAGGCGTGAGCCACTGTGCCAGGCGGGCTACAAGATGCTAAGTCTCCCAAATTGCCCCTCAGGATAACATCTCCCTTATAAAACAGATCAGCTCTGAAGATATTTTGCAGACCCTGCGCTCCATCCTTTAGCTGGCACCACCCAGATTGATAAACTGGCTCATCTGGTCTGTGGCCTCTGACCCAGGAACTGACTCAGCCCAAGAGGACAATTTTGACTCCCTGTCATTTCATCTCTTACCCAACCAATCAACACTCCCTACTTTCTGACCCCATACCCACCAAATTATCCTTTAAAACTCGGATCCCTGGCTGGGCCTGGTGGCTCACACCTGTAATCCCAACACTTCGAAAGGCCAAGGTGGGCGGATCACCTGAGGTTGGGAGTTGGAGACCAGCCTGACCAATATGGAGAAACCCTGTCTCTACTAAAAATACAAAATTATCTGGGTGTGGTGGCTGTCGCCTGTAATTCCAGCTACTCGGGAGGCTGAGGCAGGAGAATCGCTCGAACTTGGGAGGCGGAGGTTTTGGTGAGCTGAGATCACGCCATTGCACTCCAGCCTGGGCAACAAGAGCAAAACTGTCTCAAAGAAAAAAGAAAAAAAAAAATCTAAAAATTCCAATCCTCGAATTCTCGAGGATGCTGATTTTTTGAGTAGTAATAAAACCCTGGTCCCTGGTAACGCGAACAGCTGGCTCTAGGTGAATTAAACTCTTTCTCTATTGCAATTCACCTGTCTTGATGAAGTCTAGGCAGTGGGCAGGGACCACCCACTGGGCAGTTACAATGGTAGTCTGAGAAAACTAACACAATTACATAATTTAATCAATTAATGTAATTTAACATAGTTAAAAAAAACTGTCAAATTGTGATGTTGTGAAATATGTATATATTTGGTCTTCCAGTTTCCTGGCATGCAGCTCCTAAAATCCTTAGACTCTGTGAAGTGGTGTCTTTTTTCTGTTTTTTTTTTTTTTTCTTTCAGATGAAGTCTCACTCTGTTGCCTGGGCTAGAGTGTAGTGGCACGATCTTGGCTGCCCGCAGCCTTGACCTCCTGATCTCAGGTGATTCTCTTACCTCACTACCTCAGCTTCCTGAGTAGCTGGGATTACAGGCATGAGCCACTTCACTAAGCTAATTTTTTTTTTTTTTCTTTTTTGAGATGGAGACAGTCTTGCTCTGTCGCCCAGGCTGGAGAACAGTGACCCCATCTCCACTCACTGCAACCTCTGCCTCACAACTTCAAGTGATTCTCCTGGCTCAGACTCCTGAGAATCTGGGAATATAGGCACGCAAGACCGCATCTGGGTAATTTTTGTATTTTTAGTAGAGATGGGTTTCACAGTGTTGGCCAAGCTGGTCTCGAATTCCTGACCTCAGATGATCCACCTGCCTCCACCCAAAGTGCAGAGATTACAGGCGTGAGCCACCGTGCCTGGCTAATTTTGCGTTTTTAGTAGAGACGGGCTTCACCATGTTGGCCAGCCGGGTCTCGAACTTCTGGCCTCAGGTAATCCGTCCACTTCAGCTTCCCAAAGTGCTGGGATTACAGCCGTAAACCACCGCGCCCGGCCTGAAATGCAGTTTAAATTCATTTGCTTTTCTCATGTTAAATTTAAAAAAGACTTAAAAAAAAAATAACAAAAGTGTGGTCCTCTCTTCCTGAAATTGTTTCTCTCCTTACCTGCGCAGGGACAGAAGTTTGGAATGCTATTTCCCCAGTTATAATTCGCTGTAATACGCAGCAGTAGTTATTTTTGGGTGAGATTTCGGATGCTCGTCTTTGCCTCCTTTTCGGGCTTTCCTTTCCAGCTCGGGTTTCCGAGGACGAGCCTTTGCCATCGACCGGGCGTCCTTCCAAATTCGCCTCCTCGCGGTGCCGGGAGGGGCGGCGGGGCCGCGGCGCCACCTGCGCATGCGTCGGGCCGTTGGTGGCGCCGGAACCCGGTTTCCCGGCCGCGCGCCCGGGGGAGCGTCTTGAGCGAGGCACCAGGACGTCGGCGGCTGGCGGAGCCGGGCGGGCGAAGCTGGAGCGGCGGTGGCGGCGGCGCAGGGAGGCCGGGGCCGGGTCTGAGGCCGCGGCCGGGTCTGCGAGGCCCTCGGGGCGGCAGGCGGCGGCGGCCCGGGACTCGAGCCCGGAGGCGGGAGCGGCCGCCATGGCCGAGAGCATCGTGAGTGCGGCAGCCGGGCGGGAGCGGGGACGCCGGGATGAGGCAGCAGATTTGCCGGCCGCGGCCTGTGGGGGAGGCGGGCCTGCCGGCCCCGCGAGCGGGTCCCTTTCCCCTTCTCGCCCGGGCTTTCTCAGCAGAGGCTGGGCCCCCCTCGGCGACTTCCACCCCCTCGGCTGCTTCCCGTCCCTGTCCCTTCGCGGGGGACTCGCGACCCCGGTTCCCCGGCCTGGGCAGGGAAAGGCCGAGCCTTTCTGCAGGGAAAACGGACTGTGCCGGAGAGAGACGCCCTCCTTCCGCACCGGTTCCCGGCCCCGGGAGACTCCCCGGTCCGTCCCAGGGACTCCCAGCCAGCCCTGCCCCTCAGAGCCGGGGCCGCTTCTTACCCCAATCCCCTCCGATCCTCTTCTGCCGCTCTCGCCCTTCCCAGCGAGTGCCTTGTCAGGAAGCTCTGCGGAGAGCGGCTCTGCAGACGGGGACGGTGCCGAGCTCCCTCCCCGCCGTGCCGCTGGGAAAGTGAAAAGCGCAGTCGCTTCCTGGCTTTGCTCCTTCTTAGAAGGAAAACTTGACAACTCCTCTTTAAAAGGAATGTCATAAATGAGGCTGATTTCACTTTTTACCTGAAACTGAGGATTGTCGGCCCGGCGCAGTGGCTCACACCTGTAATCCCAGCACTTTGGGAGGTCAGGAGTTCGAGACCAGCCTGGCCAACGTGACGAAACCCTGTCTCTACTAAACGTACAAAAAATTAGCCGGTCGTGGTGGCTGGCGCCTGTGATCCCAGCTACTTGGGAGGCTGAGGCAGGAGAATCCCTTGAACCTGGGAAGTGGAGGTTGCAGTGAGCCGAGATAGCGCCATTGCACTCCAGCCTGGGCAACAGAGTGAGACTGCGTCTCAGAAAAAGAAAAATTAATTGTCATCCCTACCGAGGTAAAAAATGTCAGTGAAAAATCAGAGAAAACCAGCCCCTCGTTAACTTGGGAGAAGCTTTTCCCCAAAAGTAAATGTGATGGGAAAAAATTAACTGACCCTTGGACAGAATTTTGGTTATTTATTTATTTTTTTTTTTTGGGACAGAGTTTTGCTTTTGTTGCCCAGGCTGGAGTGCGGTGGCCCTGTCTGGGCTCACTGCAAACTCCTACTCCCGGGTTCAAGCGATTCTCCTGCCTCAGCCTTCCGAGTAGCTGGGATTACAGGCGTCCGTCACAACGCCCGGATAATTTTTTTGTATTTATAGTAGAGACTGGGTTTTGCCGTGTTGGTCAGGCTGTTCTCGGACTCCTGACCTCTGGTGATCTGCCTGTCACAGCCTCCCAAAGTGCTGGGAGTTACAGCCACCGCGCCCAGCCGAATTTTGGTTAGTATTAAGGAAGATTTGGGATTTCTGGGGGAAACTGAGCAGTATTGGGTGAGGAGTAATGTTCATGCTGTAGCATTGTGACAGTCTCCGAAGTTTTTACCAGGTGTCAAGAATCGGTCTTCAGGCTGGGCGCGTTGGCTCACACCTGTAATACCAGCACCTTGGGAGGCGGAGGTGGGTGGATCACAAGGTCAGGAGTTCGAGACCAGCCTGACTAACACGGTGAAACCCTGTCTCTACTAAGAATACAAAAAATTAGCTGGGCATTGTGGTACATTCCTGTAATCCTAGCCTCTTGGGAGGCTGAGGCAGGAGAATTGCTTGAACCTGGCAGGTGGAGGTTGCAGTGAGCCGAGATTGCACCATTGCACTCCAGCCTGGGCCACTAAAGCGAACTCCATCTCAAAAAAAAAAAAGAAAAAAATGAGCTAAAGACAAGAGACGATAATGCAGGAAATAGACGCTCTGCAGTGCACCACCAGTCATTGCTGAGCGGAGAAGCCAGGACTCGAGCACTTGCAGCATGTTCCTGTCAGCCTCCTTCCCGTCTGCAGGTGGTTGGAGCAGGTCTTTGTTTGCTGCAGAGCATGCCATTTCATCCTCCCTGTCTGAACAGGGGCCTGTACTGTTGGCTAGGCATTATAGCTCACCTTCACAATGGCTTTCATCAGCATAAAAATCAAGTTGTCTTAGGAAGTTATGCTCTTTGTCCCGTAGTATTCCAGATCTGCCCACCTTTTTAGGCTTACCATGGGAAAAAAAAATACTTAAAAAAAAAAAAAAATATATATATATATATATATGTGTGTGTGTGTGTATATATATATATATATATATATATATGTATATACGCACAGATTAAATTAGGATGGAGTCTTGCTGTGTTGGCCAGGCTGATCTTGAACTCCGGGGCTAAAGGAATCCTTCTGCCTTGGCTTCCTGAAGTGCTGGAATTACAGGCATGAGCCACTGTGCCCAGCCAAAAATATTTTTTTAAAACCCTACTAAATCTTACCATTAATGACCTTTATTGTTTTTAACTTTAATCTCTTTCTCTCTTTTTTTTTTTTTTTTTGAGGCAAGGTCTTACTATGTTACCCATGCTGGAGTGCAGTGGCACCATCTTGGCTCACTGTAAACTTGACCTCTCTGGTTCAAGTGGTTCTCATGTCTCAGTTCCCCAAGTAGCTGAGACCACAGGCGTGTGCCACAATGCCTGGCTAACTTCTGTATTTTTAGTAGAGATGAAGCTTCCTTATGTTACCCAGGCTGGTCTTGAACTTCTCACCAAGTGATCCATCACCTTGTCCTCCCAAAGTACTACAGTTACAAACGTGAGCCACTGTGCCTGGCCATTTTAAAATCTTTTTTATAGAAAGTAAGTAATTGCTAGGTGTGGTTGCTCATGCCTGAAATTTGAGCACAGTGGCAGGGTCACCTGAGCCTAGGAGCTTGAGACCAGCCTGGGCAGTATGGTGACACTCCATCACTACCAAAAAAAAAAAAAAAAAAAAATTAACCTGACCTGGTGATGCAGGCCTGTAGTCCCAGGGACTCAGGAGGCTGAGTTCAGAGGATCACTTGAACCTTGGAGGTCAAGGCTGTAGTAAGCTGTGATTTTGCTATTGTATTCCAGCCTGGGTGACAGCAAGACTCTGTCTCAAAAAAGTAAAAAAGAAGTAACAATTAGAAAATTGCTTATGATTCTTTTAATTGTAGGACTCTTAAAGACTGCCTAATGTTTGTGTATAGATCCTGGAACAAAGTAACATCTTTTATAAAGAACACAGTTCCTTCATGGTTCATGGTGGGTTTTTTTTTTCCTTTTTTTTTTTTTTTTTTTTTAATTTAAGCCTGGAGGTAGTTTTTGTTTTAAGTTTGAAGAGTCAAAAAGCATTTCACATATACTCTATAAATAATGGTTAGGACATAAAGTTGTTTTCCAAGTGAAACTAAGAGTTGAGAGGATAGTACTCTTAAACTGTCTCCCCAAATGTTGATAAATCTCTCCCCTTGGCTTCATCTTCTAGAAAGATTGAGCTGAGTGTTGAAAAGTGAAGAGTGAGATTTGACTTTTTTTTTTTTTTTTAATCCAGATCACAGGAGAAGGATTTAAATGAGATTTGGCTTTAAATTTTAGTGACTCAGATGCTAAAAGACCACAGATGTAGTCTTAGGAGTAGAGCAGGACCTCACTACTCACTAGGCTGTGCAGTAGTAACCATCATGTTTCGTTTACAACAGATAATTCGTGTCCAGTCCCCAGATGGAGTAAAGCGGATCACAGCAACAAAGAGAGAAACAGCAGCAACATTCTTGAAAAAGGTACCCATGGCTTGGGTATTTAACCTCAGGATCTTTCTCATCCTCTACTGTTACTCCCATCAATACCTTTTCTCTTTTTCCCTATTTTCTCATTTTCCCTATTCCCAAATAGCCCCTTGCATTGCTTTTCTCTATCTTGGTTGGGTTGGATTGCTATAGGATGAGATGTTTGTCACAGCTGATCACTGCTCAGAATTATAGGACTAAGAGCCCAAAGGTAAATGTAAAAGTGTTTCACAAGAGTGGTCGGGTTCAGTGGCTTACACCTGTAATCCCAGCATTTTGGGAGGCGGGTAGATTACCTGAGGTCAGGAGTTTGAGAGTAGGATGGCCAACATGGTGAAACCTTGTCTCTACTGAAAATACAAAAATTACCTGGGTGTGGTGGTAGGTGCCTGTAATCCCAGCTACTCAGGAGGCTAAGGCAGGAGAATCACTTGAATCCGGGAATGAGAGGTTATAGTGAGCTGAGATTGCACCACTGCACTCCAGCCTGGGCAGCAGAGCCAGGCTCTGTAA